GAGTTTTTTTCCATATATCGATATACAGGGTGTTACCTGTAACGCTGCCATTTTTTTGCAGCCACTTTACAAAAAAAAAGTTTAAAACAATATTTGTATAATATGAAGTGCACAATAGATATTAGTAAAGCAAATTATGAAAACAGTTTGTTTATCTCGTCATTACAATTTCATAAGAATTTAATTTTGTAAATATATTTTCTTTTTTATTTTGATATCGATTAAATTAACAATGTACTAATTATTTTTTACATTCAAGACCATCATTTTTAATTTACTTCGAGTTTTTAAAAGCTTCTTAAGGAAATATTAAATAAATAGTATATGAAGTATTAGTTTTAATAATTAACCAAAATTGTTTTTAAATCCAGACCTGATCACTATTTCAAATAATATTTAGTATAAATTTCGAATAAAATGAAGATATTTAAAAACCAAGAATAATTCTTTCAATAAAAATGTATTTATAAAATTTCAAATATAAACTTCGGATAAAATCAAAATATCTGAAAATAACAAATAAGATTTAATTGAAAGATATTTTCTTTGAAATGAGATTTTATTTCAAGTAAGATTTTTTGAATAACTGTACACATTTTTAATTATTTGATAATGTTTTTGTTTCTTGCGAAATTTGCACTTTGCTATAATTTTCATTTTATTTTTTTATTTAAAGTATCAAAATTTTCTAGAAGTCTAAAATAATTTCCTACGAAAAATTTACTAGATTACCTTAACAAATTTACATTGGAAATTAATTTTTACTGTAGATTAATTCGTAGCTAATACTGTAACGTCCCATAAAAAATGTAGCATAAGATATTTTCAGGTTTTCTAGCTAAATGTAACAAACGTTATTATAAAATTTGGTTTACGTAAAGGTTAATAATAAAAATACTTGTATTAAAAGAGTTACCTAAAAGCGCTGAAACATTTGTATCATAACCGATCATCTAATTTGTTAACGTGCATAAGAATGATAAAAAATCAGTTTTTTATTGAAGCGTGTGAAAGTATTAAAAAACAATCCTTTGTTATGGTACGTAGAAAGAGTAATATATAAATAACTTCTTTTACAATATTGTTCTAACTATATTTATGTTTATACATTAACACCAATGAACTGTAATTTCACAATTATTTTATTTTTATTAGTTACATAAAACAATAAAGTACTTACCTATGGCGGTGAAAACGGCAGAGTAATGGTACTTCTTTATACAATTTTATTAATAAATATATGAAATTTTATTAAATAAAATTTTTTAATTTTGAAGCTGACAAGTAATTACATTTTATATATTTGTGTTTCAAAATATAAATGTGGTAATATAAAATACTATTAATTTGATTTTAGAAAAAAGTCATTTGATAACAGCTTTAATTAGGCATAGCTATCTTTTTTTTATATTTATGAAAATTTGCTTAATGGTATACAGTATTTATACGCATTAATTAAACGAAGTTTAATTGTAAAATGTTATTGCAAGAATGTTTTTCTTTTGAATATAGGATAAGTTCTTAACATGTTTAGAGTAGTTAATAGCTAATGTCTTTAAGGTAAAGCGGCATAAACAAGATAACGGTATAATTGCTCAGATGAAATTGTGAAAAGTTACATTTTTCTCATTCCATGCAGTTTCGTTTCGCAAAATTTAAGCGATTGATTTGTTTTTTTTTTTTAAATTTTAACGTAATTATTGTTTGATATCATTGTTATTAAATCAGAGAACTTACAATGAGTTGCAATGCCTTTGAGAAAACAATAACATCTCAATTTTGTTAAAGCCTACAACAGAAAATAAATATAACGATATGATAAATTTATTAGCTTATATACCTGCTATTAACTAATAGTAGTTAAGATCATTATTTTCCATAGTTCTTTTAGTTTAATTTCACTTATTTAATCTATGGTTGTAGAAACAAACAATATTATCAAGATATAAACGACATGAAATTATATTTTTGAACCGCGATACTTTCAGTGCGCTGACAAACACATGAGAGTGAAGACCGGGAAGTTCAGAACGCTCTTTTTATACATGCCTATGTAGACGTGCCAATTTTAGCAGAAATGGCGATTCTCTAACAATTTTATTATAAACTTTTTAAATAATGAAATTGAATATATTTCTTAATAAAGTTAATTGTACGTTTACCTATATGTTTTCATTTTAATTATAACTGCTTACGTCGAAAATATACATACAATAAAAGCCAACTTCAATTAAATTATAAGTACAAAATTACTCTTGTTTGTTTGTTTACGTGTTATTATTGAAAATCATATACATATGTATAGGTTCATTTATGGCTGAATAAACCATTTATTTTCTTCAACCATTTTATTAATTGTTATGTAATAGTAAAATTGAACAAGTTTGTAGTTTTAGAAACATTATACAAATTTATCAATGTTTATTCAAATTGTTCAGTCGATTATAAATCGGTTTATATTATTTTTAAAAAAGGAGCACCTAATATAATATTTTTAAGATTGAAAATTCGGAAATGTTGAGTTACAATACTTGATTTTTGACAATTAAAAGTAATTCTAATTGTAATAGAAGCATAACTCCTACGTAAAAACAAGTTATTTCTTTTTAAATGCATTTGTTTTATAGTTGCGAAATACTGTAACAGAAGTTACAATGTTGCTTATGTCAGATGTCAATATGTATTGCGTTTGTTACCCAGCGAAGTAATGGAATATCATGAGTGCGCATGTGATAGGGTCGTTCCTAACGGGTATTTATCAAGCGAGTATTTATTGAACGAGTATCACTTTCAAAATTCCGCTTACCTCAAAGATATTTTTCATTCTGGTTTGATAATAACGTCATCTTCGCAACCTTCCTTGAGTGTTGCTTCCAGATAAATGATTTCTCCATTGCTATTCCCTAGGAATATTGTTCGAGTTTTCACTGGACTCTTGTTTTTTAGGATAAATTTCAAAATATCCTAAAACTTGGTTTCTTTTCGTATTTAATGGCTGATTAAACATATTTTAACAACATCAATAGTATCAATATACTCGACAAACTTTGCAGTCCACTATTTCTTGTAATTCGGTCACAAAACGTGCTTGAAAATGTAAAATTTGTTTTTTTTTTTTAAACCAAATTTTGTAAAAATTTGAAAGGAAAAAGTTTCTAATTTCAAATATAATAATAAGAATTTATATTTATGAAAGAAGAAGTTTTAAATAAATTAAAAATTTTAAAATGTTTATATGACCTAGTAGTTAAACTGTATTCGTGGCATATCCTAGTCATTAACTGTTACTGTTCCAATTATTAAATTTGTATTAATAAAAATTGCTTAATAAAAATATTAAGATGTTAAAAAATATATCAAATATATTCATTTGATCATTTACAATGGGCTTTGGTCCTGAATTAATTTTGGCACATCAAACCAGTTTTCACTGGTTACTTGTAAAAAGGTTAAAAATTGAAAAGAAATGGTTAAAATTACATTATTAAGTTTTAGACCATATTGACATTATGTCGAATTTAAGAATGAGCTGTTATATTTTTGATAATTATTTTTAATATAAATGTATAAAATTTAAAACATACTTTAATACAGTAAATGAGCCGTTTACTTTGATAGAGAAAAAAATCCATTAGTTGTTAGTGCGAGATGTTTAGGGGTTTGCATTACAATAAATTAAAAAATATTAGTAAACACCAATAGACAAATTTATCGTATTTTTTCTTGGTAAATAATGTATGTTTATTATTCAATAGTATTAAAGAATTTAGTAAGAAAAGTAAAGGTTTTATTATATCTTTGTGAGGGATTTGCCTCACTTTCAAAAGTAGTGAATTACTGTAACCGTTAATTAAAGGGATAATATTTTAATTCTTCATAGTCTTTGTCTCAATTTTTTTTAATCATTTGGGTCCGAATTGTCTTCATATTCAAATTCTAACGCCAAGATTCTTCTTTTATTACTAATTCTTATGGGTCTTATTTCTATAATTATAATGAAAATAATAAAATTCCTTGGAAATAAAGATTCATTTGGAGCGTTGTTATTGCCTAAAAAAGTATTTCTATTTTGTTATTATTATCTACCAACTTCGCTCACATATTTTTTTAATAAAATAAACTAAAATTCGTAATTAATTTTCGCATAACAGTGAAATTGTTAATGTGTTTTGTGCATCGATACTAAACCAAGAACCGCGTCGATTTCGTTGAGTATTTATCAGAAACTGAACTTGAACTTATTTGCACACTGATATCACTCATATTGATATTTATACCACGAATATTATGCAATTTGTAATTTTCTACATTATTAGCAATATTAATAAAATTTACCAGAGCTAAATTGTCCTGTAATATATTCGATTAAAAATAATATCAACGTAAGATGGGTTAGTATCAATTCAAAATAAACATCTTATTAATGCTGTTAATTACCCAAACTTCGAACCCCCCAAATATTAGAGAACTTAAATTATTTTCACTATAGATTGCTTACATATAAAATAACATATTAAGTTTTATCTATTGTTACCATTATCTTCATATTTTTGTTGAAGGATGAACTTGCGCTACTTTCAAAATAAACGACTCAAATATCAGCAATCTAATCAATTCATTAAAGTTAATTCGTTTTATAAGTCAGTTTCACGTGAAATCGCATTTGTGTCTTTGGCGATTAATTACTGGCCAGTGTTATCACGTACTACTGGCAGATAAAGCAATACACATAATTTCAGTATTTAAACAAAATTAGTAAAAAATACAAAAATTTGAATATATCCATTTAAAAATAATTAACAAAGAGGGTATAAATTGTTTGAGTCATTATGAAAAGAGTTTAAAAACGTTGAATCTTGGATTATTGTAGAATAATATTTTTGCGTGATATAAGTAATGAATTACGGAAACAAAATTTCCACTTAATTGTTAATAAATATGACTCGTGTGAGCAGTAGGGTATTTACCTTATTATTAACGTTATTTGATTTTGCTTATAGGTCATAGAATCGCGGTGCAGCGGCGGCAGAGGTGAGAGGAGGATAGGCGGAGATCGAAGAAGGGATGAATGGAACGGCGGCGTTGCGGCGCAGCGTCGGGGGCGGCGGGGGCGCCACCGGGGGTGGAACCGTTGAACCAGCACCCGTCGCCATCCTCGTCGTTTATAAAGACGAGGCCGGATACGGGATGAAAGTCTCCGGCGATAACCCCGTCTACGTTCAGTCGGTGAAGGAAGGTGTGTTACCATATTAATCGGAGTTTTAAAATCGACTTACGTGGAAATTAAACACACTATAGCATTTGTGGAAACAACACAGACAATAGTCTGTTTCAGGCGTTTGATCGTTTGAGGTACTACGGCCTTATATAAGTTGAACGTATTTAACACTTTTGCGGTCGATGGTTTAAACACCACTCAAAATCAATGTGGAACACAAACAATTAAGATTCGGAAGTTTATTCTTAAATATTGTGAATACTGTGTGAATCTATGGTGAATATATAGAAATAAGCAGTACAATGATTACCGCTTTGTGTCAAGGCCTCAAAAGGTTAAATTTGTTTAGTGAAATTGTATTTTACATTTGAAAAGCGTGAAAATAAAGCTGTGATGACCTTAGAATGAAATAAAAGTATTATAAAAGCAATGAAAAAAGATAGCAGACCATAACTACTGGTGTACTTAGTATGTTGATTAAAACTACGAGTATTAATAATTGGCACATAATAAGTTACTAACTTCTTTTTAATAAGTGTACTAATTTCATAAACGAAGTATGAAATCTTTAATAAATGTCAAAGAATATATACTACTAAATTTTATGTTCATTTTTTTAATTAAAGAAAAATAAATTAAACACTTGAATTTATAATCACATCATTTAAAAAAATAATATATTTAATTTTAACAAAATCAGTTATTTGTTCAACACACGTATTACATATTGAATTTCTTCAGTATATTAATTGTTTTTTATACTTCAAACGTAATTATAATATTTCAAAATTGTTTAAAATACTTGTAATATATTTATATTATAAAAAATACATCATGGTGAGTAATTAATCCTTTATTTTAAGAAATTGTATTGTGATTTATTTACGTTTAAAGAAAAAGTTCTATTGAATTTACATATTTCAAAAATTCGATATGATACATAATAATAATTAAATTGGATTAAACTAACAGTAAATTTATTTGATGTTAAATTTAATAATAAAACAGCTAACATTAAATATCTTTTATAGTTAAAAAATAATATATTATAGTTAAAAAATAATATATAATTCTTATGAATTCTTACTAAAATTGAATGTGCCAACGATTAGTGTAGCGTTATAATTACTTTATTTGAGTGGCTACAAATGTGTTAAATATGTGGTATTTTCTATGTTATTATTTTATAAATTGTTTATTTTTATACTATAATATGATACAATAATGAAATCCTGAAAGAACATGAGTTGCATTGTCTAACAGGCGAGTCTCAGCAATTCAAAATTTATCAATATATCTTGTACACTAAATGTTATGTAAACATTTAAATTGTATGAATATTATACGGTATATCAATATCATTCGTATTTTAAGAGCTTGAACATTTTCATCAAAATCTTAGGTTGTTAAATTACCAAATTTTTGTATTAATAATTTACTCTTGTTGACTCTGAAGCTCTAATGAATTAACGTTAAATTAATCTCGATAATGCCTATTATTTTCTACACATGCTATTTTACCTTTTTTTACGTTAGGTTTTCATTCCTTTAAATTATTTTATAAGAGGCATACACAATTCTCGAAACAGATTGTGTTTACATTTAGAATAATTAAAAGATTAAAAAATTGTGTAATTCTAAAATTTTCAAATTCCAGAATTCAATATTTTCAAAGTTCCAAATCCCTAATTTGTTAAATTCCTATTTCACAAATTTATAAATTCCCAAATGCTTTAAATTTTGAAACTGCTGACTTCACAAATTTTCAAATGAAAAAAGTCCCTAAATTTCCAAATTCCTAACTTCATAAATTGTCAAATTAGACTGTTCATTATTAGACTTTGTAATAAATATGTTAAATTTCGATCGTCGCGTTCCAAAGGTCGTGTATTCTGCTCATTAGAAATGTAATTTTGCATTACTTGAAGAAGTAGTATAAAATAGTGTTACCAAGAATCTGTTGTCGATAAGATAAAAGTTGTTAGAATATTTATTATTCGTTGTCTCGTTAAAGAAAAATTGTTAAAAGACAATGATGATGCATTGTAGGCGGTGCAGCCGCGAGAGCTGGCCTTCACGCGGGCGACAAAATAATCAAGGTGAGCTAATATCGAATTTATGTTATTGCAAAATAACCCTAAAGCTAGTTGTTGTACATAAATGTTCAATGGAAATATTTATAGTCTTGCCGCGAATAAAATTAAACTTGTAAATTCAGATTGTTGATAAATACGTATAGTTTTTACGAATTTAAATTTACAATAGCATACGATTTTTTACTATTTGTAACTATGATTGGTATTTCCAGGTTAACGGGGTGAATGTAATGCAGTCCACGCATACGGATGTTGTACAACTCATAAAGTGTAAGTTTACATACTTTCTTTCTTTTCTATGACCTCTTTTTTTTCTTTTCTTTTTTCAAGACTCTTACCACGTTATTTGACAACGAGATAGAAGAAATTTTGCTGGCACAATGAAATTAACTTTGTAAATGAACTGCTGTGAAAATATTACTATGTAAAAGTAAATGTTTTGTTTTATCAACTGGGAACATATATTAGCTTTTTTACAGAAAGATTGCTTTTGCTTTATAAAATATTGCGATTATAGTATTGATTTATTTATGTAATATATTGTTCACCTGACCTTCGAAACATATAGTAATTGGTTAGCATGATTAATTTCAATTTTTTCAATTTAATTTTTTTTCTGTTTTTAAATCCATCTATATTGGATTTTGTGGCTTAGTGATTGTAACTAGAAAATTTAATTCTTTAAATCCGGCAGAGAAATTTTCATATTTTAATGTAACATTTGTAGTCCTACCGTGAATTAAATAAATACAAAATTGTAGTGGTGATAAAATATTATAATATCCAATTTAAATTAATTTAAAACTATTTAACTTGGTTAATATCTTGAAATTTTCCCGGGTATCATAGACATACCTTGAGAAATATGTATTCTCCAATACTTTTATAAAAGTTACCATATTTTTTAAATAAAGATAATTTTACACTTTCCATATTTTTTATTTTCAAATAAGTTTTGGTTTTCGTAAAAACAGAAGCAGTTTATTTTTTGTGAGGTAAAATTTTTATAAAAAACGTAAATTTGATTTAATATATTAAAACCAATATTTCTAATAAAAATTGTGGAGCCAATGTCTTGTTTCTAAAAAGGAAACTAGTTATTTTCATAAGATTTTAATGAGCTTTTGTAAGTTGGGAAATCATATTGTTACGAATTTAATGTAAAAGTTCCGACCAGTTTTATCTTTCCTATTGTTACATGTACTTTTAACAAAAGGATTATGCAGTTATTAATTAAGCATCAAAAAGCTACAGTAATGTTAGTTTTATGCGAGAATTTTCCGTTGAATAGTTTCAATTTTTATTTTTTACATTCCAATATAATGTTCAAAAGTGAATAGTGGATGGTTATAAATTCACTCTTTACATTTTTTATATAGAAATTGTGAAAGTTACTTTTTTGGTGTGCAAACAATTTTTTTCTGAAATTTTATAAACTACGTTGAAGTTCCACACGAAATAAACGAAATAATTCTAACAATTTGTTTACATTTGTCAATAAAATAATAAGTTCCACGTAAATGTCTTATGATATTTATTGTGTAAAAAGCAGTATTAAATCTGAGAACCACTTTTAAAATCAATTTTTTTAATTATATAAAACAACTAAAATAATACGATAATAACATAACATGACATAAAATATTATATCTAGGAAATTGATTACATCATTATACAAGTTATAAACATAATTGTATAGATTAAAAAAAGAAATATGTTAAAATCATTCGACGGAAGCTTGACATCGTTCACAAAAATTAACTTTGTTGTCCGTTTTTAGCTTTAAAACATAAATTATATAAAAACTTTGACATCAATATCTTTTTAAATTATCAATCACAGACGTCTAAAATCATATGTAAGTTGAGAGATTCATAATAACATGATGTATTAACTTTCAAAAGTTTAGATATACAATGAAGGTGCTTTTCTTAAAAAGAAAAGAAACATATTGAGAAATGAATATCAACGTAAATAATATTCAAAAATAATAAATTTCATATATACTGTTTTATTACATCATCTCTACACTCTTGCGCAAATACAAAGGGGAAGCACTTTTTGCTCTATGGTATAATTTTCCCGTCGATTGACCATTTCCAGGTAGACTATCTAGAAAGCTTATAATGTGAACACACATAAGCTGGATAGCTTATACCTTTTGTAAGTTATTCTCATATCTTGTCATTGATGATCATAAGTGATGCGTCTACCCTACTATCGTAGGTTATTAACCTTCTTTTATAAAAATAGATCCATGAGATATTACATATTAACCCTCTCGCTATGGGAAAGTTTAACGAAGAACGCTATTTTTTAGCAGTGACACATACTCTTTGACAGATAATATAATAATCTTACTTTGTGAAAAATATACATGGAAATTGCATTTATTACATATCAAAAAATTGGAAGGGATGTCAATTATATATGTATATTAAGTGAATTAATGATACAGATCATAGGTGCCCATAGTGATGAAAAGCTTAAAGAAATTATTTACAATATTTCCAATAATTTGTGCAATATATATTGTTCGAAATATATAATAGTTTTGATTAATGACTAATTCTTATACATATAATAGAGTAAGATTGTAAAATTCTAAAATTCTGAAAATCTGAAAATGTAAAAATCTAACATTAAAAAAATGATATAAATAAATAATTATTGCATAGTTACACTTAATTACTCTGTGGATTTCTTTTCTATGAGCATAAATGTGGTGAAGATCTTAGCATTTGCCTTCGGTTTTGAGATTTTAAATATGTATATAAACTTCACAACTTAAAAATTTTTAAATTTACCAAATTTGTAACGTTCTTTTCGAATTTCCATATTCATAAGTTTTCGAATTTTCAAATTTTTAAGTTTCTAAATTCCCCAATCCCCAAATTTCAGTGTTTCCTAATTTTTTTAATTTCTTAACACAAGTTTCCAAATTTCTAAATATCTAAATTTTCGAATACCAAATTTCTGAAGTACTAAATTTGAATCTTCGTACTTTTGAAAATTAAGCAACAAAAAATCAACAATTGCTAAGTCCTCTTTAACAAATCAGTTATTTGAGACCAATCCTGTGAGTTAGTTCCATATTGATTTATAATTTTCCTCTTTTCTCTGTGTATATGGTAGTTTGTATTTGTTCACAGCCCACTAAAATGTATTTTTAGTTTGATAAGCTTTTATGAAATTTGAACGTTGAATGTGTTAATTTAAATGAAGGTGACCGATAATCAGCACCACAAACTTAATAGGTATAATATAATTAAATAATAAAAATGAATTAAAGTAATGAAATAAATTTTTAGCAATATTACAAGATAAAATTTTAAATTCAACATTTTTTTGTTTTACATTTTTTACTCTAATAATTTATAAGTTAATAATTTTGCATCAATTCGAAAAGATAATGCAATTCAATTCAAAGTTACACTAAAAAAAGTGACGTAAAACAAAGAAATCTAGTAGTTTACGAAACTATATTTATTGTGTGAGTAATTGGTGATAATTAGCCTCTGAATAATCGAGGTTCGATCGTATGATTAGCGTTTCATTCCGTTCCTATTTGAATTGAGAAAAAGCGCGATACACTCGCATTCAAAGTTCGTAAAATATTTATTAAAATTTTATAAAAACCTACAGAATATTTTCAGATTCTTCCTTTGTATTTTTTAGAATATTAACTATATGTGCGATAATAAATTAATACAATTTACAACATTTTACATTTTGAAAATCATTACATATTAATTATTTGAACTTCTTGTTTACGTGTCCTTTATAGTAGGACTTTCATAATATTTGTCATAATATTTTTGAAAGCAATTACTTTATTAGATTCATTTGCTTATAATATAGTACTCTCGAAAGTCTTCAAGGTTTAAAAGTTTGATGGTTTGGAAAATGTAAAACTCAAAGTCTCAAAACACAGGAATTAAAAAATTCTAACATCCCTACATTCCAAAATTCCAGTTTTAAAATTGAATTTTTGAAAGTTCAAATGTATTATTACTTAAGGATTAAAAAATTTTGAAAGTTCAAAATACCAAAGCTCATACTTACAAAATTCTGAAATTCCAAACGTATAAGTTCAGAAATTCCAAAATATTAAAATTCCAATATTTCAATGGTTCAGTATCTAAAAATTCAAAATTTCAAAGTTACAACATTCAGAAACTTCAAAATTTAAAAATTTTGAAATTGCTAAATACCAATTTCTAAATTTTGAAATTCCGAAATTCTAGAAATACAAAAAAATCCAGAATTCCAACATTACAAAATTCCAAATTTTCTAAAAATCCAAAATTCAAGCATTCAAGCATTTAAAAATTCAAAAAATCCTTCGCAGTTTTTAGAATGTATCAAAAACCTTGTAATTTTGAATTTTAGACAAGTTCTGAAGTTCACAAAATATGAAAATCTATAATAATCCCAAAGTAGCAATATTTCAAAACGATAGGTCTCAAAGTATCGCAGTTTATAAATTTCCAAGTCCCAAAATTTCAGTTTCTAAATTCAAAAATTCCACAACTGCAGAGTCGTTTCAATGACTACAAAACTTTAATTGTCCTCTTTTGAATGTTCTCTGTAACTTTTGCGCGTTAGTGTATGTTCTATTCAGTGACATGTAACTAACGTTTAGTCGTGAGGCGTAGAAAAAAGGAGCTACATTTGTTAACTGTATTCGCGAAAAGAGACATTTATAAAGATTACAAACGATGGTCGGCGACTTTATTCTGAACACACCAACATGAACGAAGCTGCGGCGACGAGGTTTCCAGTGATGTAAGCATCGGAGTTTATAGCGGTGACCGTTCATAGAGTCTGTCCTTTTCTTTCTAACACATCAGGTACAACACAATGAGTGTATAGACGGCCTCTACCTTGCCAGAGCTGTGCTGTAATTCCATCAAATTCCGCAACATTTTAACCTCTGCGCGGACAAAACAAGAACTTAAAATTATCTCGCCGGCAATCATATTACCATTTATTAATGAAAATATTGTGTCAAAATAAAGAATTTTATTGCTTTCTTATACACAGATTTTTATTTACGATTATATTTTCACTATAAATTGTAGCAGAGAAGGATTAATATTGCAATTCTCAGGAAAAGATTCAGGTACATCATTGTTTTCCTAAACAAATGTTTTTGATCAATATGATACATTTACTGCAAATTGTATCAGAAAGGGATTAGTATATCAATTCTTAAAAGAAAAATTGATTAACCATGTCTGCTATGAATTCCTTAATTCTGTATTTCT